GATGGGCCAGGGAGAATGAGAGGTACTCCCCATGTTGTGGTTTGGGGCACCTGAGACATCTGGCGTCAACAATTCTCATTTTTCCCATTTGAACCACAATAAAGGTCAAATGAAATTTGGAATCTCTGCATTATGCTAACCTTTGGGGAAAAAAAACCACTTTTTTTAAACACTGAGGTTATTTTTCTGATATGCCTATTCTTTGTGGCAAAGAACTGTAATGCCAAGGCACAGTGCCAAATTAGTCACTTGCTAACAATTTAAAAATACTTCACTCTAATATTTTGCTCCAACGCACTGATTTTACCATATTTCCTCAGTTTTCTCTTACAGTGTCTTCATATGAAGGTTTACAGAAAAGTTGAGAATAGAAACTAAAAACGACCCTAGATAGGAGTGTGTTTTAAACCAGGATCATTTGTACAACTTCTCCTCTTTCTAATATTCCTTTCCTCATGCTTAAGTAACAAATACACCTCTTAAGGGGCGCCTGGCTGGCTTAGACGGGGGAGCTTGTGGCTTTTGATCTTGGTGTTGTGGGTTTAAGCCCCACGCTGAGTGTGGAGATTACTTAAATAAACTTAAAAAAATAATAAGATAAATAGACCTTTTAAGAAAAGGCACAGCTAAAAGACTACAAAAATACATGATTTTAAAAGAGAGGGAGGAAGCAACTCAGTCACATTCATCTCTCCAAATGACACTTTCTAAGGGCCCAGCTTAGCGGGCTGTTTTCAGGGATGCTTTATGCTGTTTGGGATCAGCTAAACCTGCATTGCTTGTGGTTCCTTTAAGTACATTAAAACCAGAAACTGTTCACATGCAAGAGCTTTAATAATCTTGACATTTAAAAACAGGTTTATTACATAAAAGTGGACTAATCCAGATCATCCTAAAAATTTCTAGCACAATTCCCCAACATTATGAATTTCAAGAAATAACAATACCAGCCTATGTATTATCCTTAAATAAGCCAGATTTCTCTGTGAAGGATCTCTTCTTCACCCATCATACAAGTTATTTTAAGTAACAAAGGTTTTTAAATCCGGTAAACTCTAGGCATGCCATGATAAGCAGCTACCACTTTGAGCTCCTTCTCTGAACCATACCACTTACCATTAGTCGATTACATGGTAACCCACCAATTTTACAAGGAAATCTGAAGCAATTAGGAAGCCTAACGTAGCAGACATGGCACACCACCATGATATAACCTCCTACAACCCTTAGGGTAAATATCATCATCCTTTTTCTGAGTTGAGTTTTGAGAAGCTTGGAGAGGTCAAGTAACTGGCCCAAGGTCTCAACACTGTTGAAGTGGCAAGGGAAGGTCTCCCACCCAGACTGACTCCAAAACCCATGCTCTGTCCATCCGCGACACCTGCTCCTCCTGTGACTGGTTCACGACTTTCACTCCTAACGGGACTCAAAGGCTGGCTTCTTTGGATATGTCCACCTACAAGGACTTTTTTGAAGACTCATTTGTTGCAGAACCCTGGCCACCCCATAGAGTACATTTCATTTACATTACAAAGTCTTTTTTGTGACGTGTTACAGCTGCTACCTAAGTGACATAGCAGGCCCAAGGACTCCCTAAATTTCAAGAGAATTGCATGAACAGTCAGCACATTGATATCAGCAAAACTGTAGGGATTTGATAACTTCAATGCTGATCAACTACAAAACTGTTGGACAGACTTCCTATTACCGTGCAAATGAGCATATTTAGTTAACCAAAAAATACCACCAGCTGAGAGCAACTACATTCCCAACCAAAATCAAATCTCAAGCCCTACAGCCATAAATCCTGAAATAATCTGCATGGAAAGCCTGATGAAAATCATTTTTATTTCTCAGAAGCTATTGAAATAAACACAAAAATTCACACTTTTAGAAAGCACTTCCTTTACTGCAGAATCTTTTTCGAGATCCAAGTCTGTTTGTTTAATCTAAAACGAGAGCCCCGGTTTCACAAGCTGCTGTTTAATAAGTAGCCGAGTCCCACCGGCTTCACAGACTTCCGTGAGCTCCTTTATCTGGAACTGCTAAAAGCTTCCTCTGTACTCGGTGACCTAATATGCCACAAAACAATAGAAGTGGGTTTCCTTGTCTAACCACTATCCTAATATTAATAACGAACTGTGGACTTAGAGGAATGCCTTCACAAATACAAACAGAAGATCTTTCCTTATGATGTGGATCGCAAGAATCTTACAAAAGGTGCATAAATGTTTTCTAAGAGAAGAATGATCTGATAACTATGACCAGGAGAAAATAATTTCTCAACTGTAGCCGTAGTTGAGTAATTTCACTACGTGTGAAAACAGTGGATTTTTTCCCTTTATGGAAGCTTCCTAGTGAGGACCAACGAGATCTCCATCTGTATAACAAGGGCCCTTGCAGAAATAGACATTCTCAGGAAGAGGCCCCCAAAGAGAGCGTAAGCAACTCCCAGAGCAATAGAGAGGCCCAAAATAAAGTTCAAGCAAGAAATGCCTTCCTTGTACACCTGAAACAAATGTAACACTGTATGTTACCCAACTGGAATTAAAATAAAAACTTAAAAAAAAAAAAAAAAAAAGAAATGCCTTCTTGCCGATGGGCAAAGGCAATTCACATATTTACAAAGCTTAATTATGAATGAAGGGGTAAATACCCTTTTCAACTTCCAAACCTAGAAATGAATTTTGGCTGAATTTTAGTTAACTGACTCATTTCTTTCTTCATGCAAATTCAAGCATTTTTTCCAACCTATTTTTGATAAGCCATGCTTTCTTTAAGGCACTATTAACCAGTTCGAAATTTAAGTAGAAAGAATTAACGCCAAAGGAGACAAAAGACACTATGCGATGGATCTATCCTTAATATGAAAATGGCCAGTCCCCCAGATAATCAAAGGCTTGAGAGTTACTATGTTTTCAACATTTAACTGCTCTTTTATCTAGCATATATGTTCAAGAGAGGTTCCTCTTTCTTAACCAGTGAGATCACTTCGCAGGATTAGCTCAAAGGTTTCTTTATTCTTCTTGGCCTAATACATCTTCATCAAGAACCCATCTCCGTTACCAGAATTAACAATCTCTTTTGGATGGAAATATAAACCCCCAAATCTATGTGTGATTATGCATCTTTTCCACAGAATTTAACCTTAGATACCTGTCATTCATATGCTATATGTCTAATTATATACCTTCTGAGCAACAGAACATGAAGGAAAAATCTGCAAAAGCTGCTATAAATCAGCAAATATTTCTTTATGCTCTATGTCAAAATTTGGTACTTCTATTTATGGATTAATTTTCCTGATTGTTTTGTTTTACAATGCTCCCAAAAAACCTCAGATTTTGTGATTCACACCTCCATAAAACAGTGGAAGAATGGAATAAAAATCATGTTAAGAGGTTTATAGGCAGACACATTTCCATGGGTTCTCACACAGAACCTGTTTTTTCAAAAAATATAAAAATTTAAGTGCAAAGTCATCTGGAAACTTCTTGAATCCCTCTCACTAAATACTCTTTGTCCACTATCCTACTCTAGTGCTAATTTTGAATTTCACCATCAGTTTCTTTCAATATTAACATCAACATCTTTCCATACAGTCTTTTATAACTTCCCAGGTACTTTCTGTGACTCTTATCTGGGGAGCATATACTTCTAATAACATTCATTTTTCTTATCTATCAGATCAGAAAACAGAAATCACCTAACAAATATTTGATCTAAGGCAGTGGCAAAAATTCAGCCATACGTTACATGGTACAACGGTAAGAGTTAATACTCAAAGAGCACTCAATGACATAACCTGGTGTAGCCCTGGAAACGATTATACATAACTTTCATTGTAGTTGTATACATAACTTTCATTTACTGGGGAAGGTAACTTCCACATTGTGTACTCAGTGAACATCATTTAAAAATAACTCAACCTCAGGAGTATGCCTAAACACTTACAAGGCTTTAAGTGCGGAAGTGGAAAAATCACACAACTAGGGGAATCCAAGACCTGGGTATTTGATGTAGCTCCGCCTACAATTTAGCTGTGTCACCTTGGGCAGGTCATTTGACCCCCAGGGCCTCAGTATCTTCAACTGAAAAACAAAGATACCAGACTCAATTTTCTTTGAGGTCTCTTCCAATACTAAAATTTCACGAATCTAGGAAATTTCAGTCTCTCCTTATTAAGGACAAGCACTAGATCTTAACCCAGATTTTTTTTTCCTTTAAAAAAAAGAAAATAACCCAACTTGGGATGCTTTCCTGGGGTAAAGTTTTATCTGGGAGAATAAACCACAACTGAAAACGATGTCTAGAATATGGGGAGAAAAAAAGAAAATCACACCCTGACGTAGCTAAAATAGAAACTTCAATCACCCTTGGACCATTCTGTCAATAGTTATTCAAAGGCTGCTACTCTAATCACTGGCTTCCTAAAATAGAAATATTTACAGAGTTGTTTCCTTCTCCTCCCCAGAGATTCAATCCGAATAAAAAGCAGAGTCCAAAATCAATTTACAACTTCAGAACAAGTTGCAGGGAGCGAAGGAAACTCGCAACACCTCTCACCAAGTCATTTGCATTTAAGTAGGATTAGGGCTAAGAAACGGTTCTTATTATAAGATGTGAGAAACGCACAGAAGGCAGGTGACATCTGAAAGGGAAGCAGAACTGCCAGAAAGGGATGTAGGCTGAGGACCTTCGGGCAACAGGTTCAGAGCTGGTACCGCAGCCTACCCCGGGAGGGGTCAATCCCTGCCACCCGGCTCGCCGCCCTCCCCGGGCCCAACCGCATCGCCTCGCCCCCGCTTCGGCCCTGGAAAGGCTGCCCGCTCCCCCACCCCACTCCCCTGCGGCAGAAACCTCCCTAATCGCTCGCTTCCCCGGGCCTCCCTTCCCGGCAGGCCCTCCGATTCCTCGGCGCCGACGCCGGACCGGGCCCGCAGCCTCCTCCCCGGGCACCCCCGTCGCAGTGGCCCCGCAGCCCCGTCCCCGCAGCTGGCCCGCTCACCTGCACCTGTTTGCGGAAGTGGCGCGGCACCCGCACTGCCCGTGGCCAGGAGCAACAGCAGCAGCGGCAAAGCCGGCGGCCCCGGCATCTCGCCTACGGCGCGGCCCCGGGGCCGGCTCTCGGGTCGCCTTCCGTCGGTCCGTCAGTCAGTCGGTCCTGCCTGCCTCAGCGGCACCCGCGCCGGCTGCTCCTGAGCACACGTCGCTTCGGCCAAACCTCAGCCTGGCTCCTGGTCCGCACCCGCCGCCCGGGCCACAGAAACACCATCCTTCCCGCCCGCCCGCCCGTGCTGCCGCCGCCGCCCCCTCTCAAAAGCAGCAACGGCAGCAGCCCTGCGGAGCCACGGGCCACGGCAGCCGCGCTCCCGCCGCCATGATGGGCTGCGTCATGTGACGTAGGAGGGGGCGGGACGCCGTGACGAACAGCCCAGCCAGCCAATCGTCAGTTCCACACCGGCTGGAGCGGCCCCGCCCACCATCCTGAAAGAGGGAGGGTGGCCGCCGGTGCGCCCCCTGCAGACGGAGGAGTGCGTGGGCAGCGGGTAATGCCGACAATTATTTTAATTCTTAAAATACAGGGAAGTATAAAGGAGACAATAAAAAGCATTCAGAATCCATATGATTTTTTTTCAATATTTTAAAAGGAGCAAAAGTAGGCCTGTTTTGTCTTCTGCCTTTTTTACTTGTCATAGCCGTTTTAGGCCCTTCTCCTTAGGTTGACCTACACATCCTATCCGCCATCAAGGATACTTGGGCTTCCATTTCAGTTCAACAAGAATAGAATGGCTCTCCCCTCACACCCACTGACTCAGCTCCTGAGCTCAAGATGTTCCCTTTGCCAAGAGTGCCCTTCCTGTCCTCTCGGCCACCTGGCACACTCTCTTTTCACTGTCAAGAGTCACCTGAAGGATGACGTCATCTAAGAAGGCCCCGCCCAGCCCCCGGAGAAATGACTGGCATCTCTTAGTGCCTCGCCCTGTCCCCAGACTGCTATCCCAGCTGCCGTACATTGTTCCTGTGACTGTAAGCTCCCTGAGGACAGGAACTGTGCCCACATCAGTGGGAGTCCCCCAGGGGCTGGCCCAGGGTCTGGCTCTGAGGAGTTATTTCCTGAAGGAATAGTGCCTGTTTCTGGTGCTGGGCACGCCCAGCTGCCAACCTCTCCCCAGCAAGAGACAAAGTCCAGCCAACAGGTGAAGAGAGACCATAGTCCTGCAGAAAATGTAGAGAAAGCTGAGGGATATGGAGTCAGTTTAGTGCTAGATGAGCATGCATCTCTAGGGGTCTGGCATCCAGCAGATACTGTAAATGTTTGCAAGGCTGAGCTGGGTGCATACATGAGAGTTCTGTCAGTGGTATACTGGAACCAGCTGGTATCAGCTCGTGAGAGCCAATTGTTAAATCTCCAGGAATTTTGCATGCCACTTGTTAGATACAGTCATTGTTAAAGAGAAAGCACCTTCCAGGCAGAAGCAACGAAATAGTTAGAGGCCTGGAGGTTGGGGAAATGCTGGGCTTTTCTGGAGAATGTACTTGTACCAGTTTGTGCATGAGAGGAACTGATTTGAATCTTATCAGATGGAGCTCTGTAAACTGCAGGCAGGGGAGCCCAGTTCTCCAAACTCCTCAAATGTCCATCCTAAATGTCAGCTCTCTGCAGTGCTAAACCAGCACTGGACACACAGACGACGCCCCAGGGAATATTTGTTGAATGATTAAGGCAAGCCAATAAACACCTAAGTAAACAAATAGCTGGAATGTGAAATACTGTGTTAAAGCGTCCTTGCCTGCCTGCTGATCTCTGTTTGGGAAAGGGGAGGTAGGCAAAGGTCTGGAAAAGAGATGCAATCACCCTGTTGTGCTTCTACTTCTATGAGGAAGCTCCGGACTTGAAGCCAGGGAATGCTCATGCTGGGTGTTGGGAGGAGTCACGGTGCTTATTTGCAGCAACGCTAGCCCAGGCAAGGCCCTGCCTCATAATCCTTGTGCTTGTTAATTATAATTAAAGTGCACCCCAATAGCATCATGTCCCAAAGCAGGTTTCATTATTATTTGAGCAAAGCCCAAATTAAACTTTTTTCTTTTTTCACTTCACAGAGCAGGAGTTAAGGTACACATTCCTCAGAGGGCATCTAATGGAAACATTTACCCTACCATCCACCTCACCACTCGAAACTTTGCCAGTGCTTCTCTTGAAGATTTCCAGTTAGAGAATGTATAAAGCAATTGAAAACCTGTTTGCTTTGTTTAGTTTCACCTAGGAATCAGAAAATAGCCTTTGGCACAATTTGGGATTAGATCCCTAAACTGAGAAGCAGTATCTTGCAGTGTGTTCCTATAGCTGTTCTCACCTGTGCTCAGCCTTTTCCAATTTTCTTCCCTGCCAGGCCATCACTTGGACAACCCTACTGGCGTTCTTGTCCTGCCAGCAAGTTCGCACTGAGGGCTAGATGCTGAGGGATATGGAGTCAGTTTAGTACTAGATGAGCATGCATCTCTCGGGGCCTGGCATCCAGCAGATACTGTAAATGTTTGCAGGGCTGAGCTGGGTGCATACATGAGAGTTCTGTCAGTGGTATACTGGAACCAGCTGGTATCAGCTCATGAGAGCCAATTGTTAAATCTCCAGGAATTTTGCATGCCACTTGTTAGATACAGTCATTATTAAAAATTAAATTATATACACTTACAATTAAATAAATTATATTAAAAACAAAGACAATAGGGCACCTGGGTGCCTCAGTCGTTTAAGTGATGGACTCTTGATTTCAGCTCAGGTCATGATCTTAGGGTCCTGGGATTGAGCCCCAAGTCAGGCTCCATGCTCAGCAGGGAGTCTGCTTGAGGATTCTCTCTCCTCCCTCTACCCCTCACCCTCTCTAAAATAAATAAATCTTTTTAAAAAACAAAGCAAAACAACAACAACAACAAAACAAAGGTAAAAAGGACAAGCACTTCCAAAATGAAAAGCAATGAGAACACTGGCAAAAATTGTCAAAATCAACGTCTTCAAAACTAGAAATTAGCCAAAGGTTTGCAACAACACAAGGAGGATTTATTAAAGAAAAATGGCTGAATGTCAGTAAAAACTTTGAGTTTTGTGGCATTTTCACTTGCTGTATTCCCATTCTTCTCTCGCCGCCTCCATGGGAGCCTTAAAAAAACAATAACCTCAAAACCACAGTAACTGTGAAACTGAGCAGCCTAACAGCTGCAGAAAAGAATAGGTTTGAAGCTCCCCCAAAAGCTGCATCCCCAGAGAACTGACAGTGTTTGACCCATCAGGCAGCTCCCAAGAAAAGCACCATTCTCAGGACTTGTCTTTATTTGATATGACTCAGAACTTCCTTAGTGCAAACAGCTCTTTCCCCAGTTTGTTGAAAATAATCAGCGGTAATTGTTTAACATTGCAAGCTTCCTGAGCCAGTGATAGCTGTTGGCTGATCAAAAACTTAAAAGAAAAAATTAGGGGGATGCTTGGGTGGCTCAGTCAGTTAAGCGTCTGCCTTCGGCTTAGGTCATGATCCTGGGGTCCTGGGATTGAGTCCGGCATCGGGCTCCTTGCTCAGCGGGGAGCCTGCTTCTCCCTCTGCCTGCTGCTCCCCCAGCTAGTGCTCACTCTCTCTCTTTCTGACAAATAAATAAAAGAAAATCTTTAAAAAAAAGAAAAGAAAAAGAAAAAATTAGGGAATGAAGTATCAATGGGGGCTTTGAGAAGCTCCAACATATCCCTGGAAATCTAGAAAGCTATGTGCATATGCAAGGCTGTGTACATGCCCAGGAAAGACATGAGAAGGCCTAAATCATCCACCCCTGGCTGATCTTGAGGCTCTGTGCAAGCAAGATGTGAAGGCTAGGGCAAAATTTTAAGCTGCAGAGCATTGAAGGCATGCCTTAACACACATACAGAGACCCTTAGCAGAATTGAGGAGATACAGTGATCCAAGGCATTTAAGAAAACCTTCGTACAATCATTAACTAAACATTAAGCTAGCTAAACAGAGACATCAGTGGCCACACATAATAAAAAATATAGACTTTGCAGAATTAGTCCAGGAAAGTCACGAAACAAAGAAATGGTGACAGCACAGTTGTTGCAACAACAACAAACAGCAACCACAAAACCAACTCTGGGGAAGGGAGATACTAGGGAAAACTGGTTTCCAGAGTTGCCACATTATGTGATTTTAAATGTCCAGTTAAAAAAAATTGCAAGACACAAAAACAGGAAAGTATGCACCATACACAGGATAAAAGAGCAGTAAGGAAAAACTTTCCATGAGGAAGCTGAGAAGGTGGACTTAATAGAGAAAACTTTTAAATAAATAAAAAACCTATTAAAATTAATTGAAAAATAAACAAATCAGCTATTACAAATATATTCAAGGAACTAAAGGAAACCATGTCTAAATAATTAAAGGTTGGGGCACCTGGGTGGCTCAGTCGTTAAGCGTCTGCCTTTGGCTTAGGTCATGATCCCAGGGTCCTGGGATTGAGCCCCACATCAGGCTCCTTGCTCTGCGGGAAGCTTGCTTCTCCCTCTCCCACTCCCCTTGCTTGTGTTCCCTCTCTCACTGTGTCTCTCTCTGTCCAAAAATAAATAAAATCTTTAAAAATAAATAAAATAAATAAATAATTAAAGGTTGATTGAAAGACATTAAAGAAGACCTGACTAAATGGAAGACATCCCATGTTCATGGATCAGAAGATTTAATATTATTAAGAAGGCAATACTCCCCAATTGATCTACAGATTCAATGCAATCCCCATCAAATGCCAGCTGGCTTCTTGCAGAAACTGAGAAGCTGATCCTAATACTCATATTGAAATTCAAGGGACCCAGAATGGTTAAAACAGTCTTGAAAAAAAGAATAAAGTTGGAGGACTCAACCTTCCTGACTACAAAGCTAGAGTAATCAAAATAATGTGATATTGGCATAAGAATAGACATACAGAGCAAATAATATAACTGAGAGTATATAAATAAACCTAAATATTTGTTGTCAATTGATATTCAAGAAGGGTGCCAATACAATTCATTCATTTCTCAACAAATGGTGCTGAAGCAATACATATGAAAAGCATGAAA